CCATTATACCTCAATAAATCTATTTTTAAAAACCTTCAACAGAATATAAACACTTGAGTGTATACTGTATTCCCTATAGCACTTGCACATAGATCATGGAACTATGTTGCATAAAAAGTCAGTATCCAATTAAAATGGAATTCTAAAAAGTAATTAACATTAAAATGTGCAAGGGAAAGAGGAGCAAAAAAATTAGACTAGACAATCGTAGCTTAAATGGTAAACTTATAGGTCTGTTTCAACTATATCAATTATTGCACTACCTGTAAAGCCACTGAGCGCTACAGTGCAATGGTAGAAACAGTTGGAAGGGCAGAAAAAGCAAGACTCAACTATATCTTGTCTATATGAGATGGGCCTTAAAAGGAAGACACAGATGCTGTCTGTTGAAAGTAAATAGATGGAAAAAGATACACCATGCAGAGTGTAAGGCCAAGAAAACTGCCGTGGCTATCTCAGTATCAGATGAAGCTGATTTTGTTAGCGGTGGACGAGATGCGAGTTACCCTACGTTGAAGGCAGCGAATCCATAGGGGTCCACAGCACCTTCAGCTCTTCCCCACCTGAGAAGAAAGAATTGGACTGAGGGGCATGAGGCAGAAGGAGAGATGGAGGCAAGTTTCAGAGCAGGAGTGAAAGTTCATTAAAAAGCTTTAGAACAGGAAGGAAAGGAAGGAAGGGAAAGAAAAGAAGGGAAGTACTTGGAAGATGGCCAAGCAGATGACTTGAGAAACAGCGCACAGCTGGCCCGCCTGAGTCGGGGTTTTATAGGTTGGCATACTTCTGGGATCTTGCCTTCTCCCCACTCCTGAAATCTCATTGGGAAGCTGCTGATCAGTTTCAGGTGTTTTCTATGTGTTAGGAGACTGCCTTTTACTGGCATCGGCTGTAACCAGTTATTACTTTAGAGACACGGTTATCAACCACCTGATGGTCACCTAACACTGCTGGTGTCAGAAGCGGGGAGCCCTCTCCTGCCCTGCTAATACCTGTCTAGCTACCTACTGTAACAATTTTAGGACACAGAATATTATGGGAGATCAAAAGGGACCTTTGTAGTTAAAAAGGTTAACTCTTCAAGGAGTGTAATAATAATCACAAATTTGTATATGCCTAGTAATACAGCTGCAAAACACATGACGCAAAAATAGAATTAAAAAGAGATTAAATCAGCTGTTTCTCTCCACTTGGTAGCACGATCAGATGAAAACGCCAGTAAAGTGGCAAGCGACCTGCACACTATGAACCACCTTGATTTAACTGACATTTAAAGAGCAGGATGGAACATCCACTGAACACTTATTCCTTTCTATGATCATGATACTTTCACCAAGACAGACCAGGTTCTGGGCTATAAAACACATGATATGATCTCTAAACTTAATGAAACTAAACTGGAAATCAGTAACAATATTCATAGAGAATTCTAAAATTTTGAAATTGAAAAATACACTTCTAAAAATCTGTGGTTCAGAGAAGAAATCAAAAGGGAAGGTAAGATATTTATTTCAGAGTAAATAATAATGACAATATAACGCATCAAAACTGGTAGGAAATGGCTAACAGTGCTCGGGGTGAAATATACAGCTTTCAATGTTTCTATTAAAAAATTGGGGGCTGGGGAAGTGAGTTACAGAGGAAGGGCATGCAGTTCCTTTGTGGAGTGATAAAAATATTCTAAGATTGATTATAGTGATGATTGCATAGCTATGAGTATATTAAAAACTATTGAAATGTAGACTTTAAATGGGTGAATTATATGAATCATCATGATTATTAACTATGGGAATTGTGTCTCACTAAAGCTGTCAAAAAAAAAGAAAAAACATGAAAATTATGGCCTGAGGAGCTACGTTAATCAATCATAAAATATAAGTGTAAATTTAAGCCAAACAAACTAACAAGAAGGAACATAAATCAAGGAAATAGAATACAAACCACAAAAAGAATTGACCAAATGAACTGTGTGTGGTGGCTTACGCCTGTAATCCCAGTACTTTGGGAGGCCCAGGCAGGCAGATCACTTGAGCTCAGGAGTTAGACCACTCTGGGCAACAAGGCGAAACCCCAGCTCTACAAAATATGCAAAAATTAGATGGGCATTGTGGCACATGCCTGTCTGTGGGGACTGAGGTGGCAGGACCACTGGAGCCCAGGAGGCAGAGGAGGCAAAGGTTGAAGTGAACCGAGATTACACCACTGCACTCCAACATGGAGGTCAGAGGGAGACCCTGTCTCCAAATAAATAAATAAATAAATAAATAAAAAGACAAAATGAAAAGTTGGTCTTCTGAAAGGATTTTAAAAAACACTCATAAACCCCTCATTAGATGAGAGGGAGTAAGAGTGTGAGAACAGAGAAAGGAGACGCAGACATTGCCTGAACCTAGAGGGACTCCAGCCTGGGAAGGAAGGATTTGGGAAACATGGGTTAGCTTCACTGTCACCAACTATGGGACAGGCTTTGATATGGAAGAAGGCTACATTTTGTCTTGTTTAGATGGAGGCAGTTGAATTGAGCCCAACATAAACAGCTTTCATTGTAACCATTTTGGTTTTGCTTAATTTCCTACTTTTAAACACAACTTAAAGCAAAGTTACAAAAACTGTACAATAAAAACATTTGAAAAAATAGCTGTTGATGTGATGAAAGCTGTTATTGAATTCTTTAGTGTGTACTTTCTACAAGCAAGGAAATTAACATCAACACGTTACCACTATCTAATACCCAGACTCTATTCCGATTTCTCCAGTTGTCTTCCAGTTGTCATTTATAACATAGAGCTCACGGCCAGAATCCCTGAATTGCTGTTTCATCTTTTTTTGTCACTCTTTGATATTTAGTGGGAACAGCTTGTCAAGGTCCTTTGTAAAGCAGTAATTAATTACTTCATGTTTGATGCTATATCCTGACTTTCTGTAAGGTTATATATATTATAACCCTCATTTGTAAAACTCAGTATGTTTATGTGTGTGTCTGTGTGTATTTGTGTGCGTGTGAAGGAGAGAGACAGAATTCACCTATTGGTCAATTAAACACTTGGTGAAACGAAATATGTTAAATGCTATTACTGCATGAAGGGCTCATAAGTGTTTTTAAAAAATTCTTATAAAATCTTTTCTTTCCAACCACAGTGGTGTGTGCCTGTTATCCACATTTCTTGGGAGACTGAGGCAGGAGGATCACTTCAGGCCAGGAGTTCGAGCCTATAGTAAGATATGATCACACCTGTGAATAGCCACTGCATTCCAGCCTGGGCAACATAGCAAGACTCTGTATCAAAAAAACAAAAATAACTCTTCTTGCTCACGTTTTCTGGGATAAATGTATTTTATGTTTTAATATGAGAAAAGGATACAGAGGTGTTTTCCTTTGTCTTTTCATTTTGGTTTTGGTTTTGGTTTGTTTTTTTTGTTTGTTTGTTTGTTTGTTTTGAGACGGAGTCTTGCTCTGTCACCAGGCTGGAGTGCAGTGGCGTGATCTCGGCTCACTGCAACCTCTGCCTCTCAGAGTCAAGCTATTCTTCTGCCTCAGCCTCCCGAGTACCTGGGATTACAGGTGTGCACCACCATGCCCAGCTAATTTTTGTATTTTTAGTAGAGACAAGGTTTCACCATGTTGGCCAGGATGGTCTCAATCTCTTGACCTCATGATCTACCCGCCTCGGCCTCCCAAATTGCTGGGATTACAGGCGTGAGCTATCGCACCTGCCCATATATATATTTTTATTTTATAGAAAATAGCTGGCCCTAACAGGCCAAGGGATAAACATGGATATGAAAGAATGAAAGTTTGGAGCTGGAAAAAATGTCCAAGCATGGATGGATTTTGTCACTTGGGGTGAAGGGAATGTAAGATGGAGCCTGGGAGGGGTGAGGTCTGGAAGCCACTCACGCCCATCTCTCCTTTGTCCCCACAGGTCCTAGCTTACTCTGCCACCACTGCCCGGCAGGAGGAAGTTTCCCAGCAGACAGTGGCCCACAACAACAGTGGCACAGCTTCCAAGAGGAGAAGTGTCCAGCAGGTGCACTCTTATTTTTAAAAATCAGTTTATTTTTAATTGACAGATAAACATTGTATATATTTATGATGTACCTCATGAGGTTTTGAAATATGCATGTGTTGTGGAATGGCTAAATGAAGCTAATTCACATACTTATCATGTATTCGTGGTAAGAACACTTAAAAATCTGCTCAGCAATTTTCAGCTGTATGGATACAGAGCCCTGGCATAAGCCCTCTTTGCCCTTTTTATGTGGGGGTTCTGTAGCCTTCCTTATCTATGGGTTCTGCATCCATGGTTGCAACAAACCACATATAAAAAATATGTGGAAAAAATAAAAATGATAATATGTCAATAAAAGTAGATAAAAGCAATGCAATATAGCACTTATTTACATATCATGTCTATTGCATTAGGTGGTACAAGTATTCTAGAGAAGATTGAAAGCATATATACCTGGGTTTTATGCAATACTATCCCAATTTATATCAGGGACTTGCGTATGTGCCAAGTTTGTTCCATGGAATATATTCCCTGTGGATAGAAGGAAGGACTGTACAACACATTGTTTTAATAACTGTAGTCACCATGTTCTACAATACATCTCTTTTTTTTTTTTTTTTTTTTTGAGATGGAGTCTCGCTCTGTCGCCCAGGCTGGAGTGCAGTGGCCGGATCTCAGCTCACTGCAAGCTCCGCCTCCCAGGTTTATGCCATTCTCCTGCCTCAGCCTCCCGAGTAGCTGGGACTACAGGTGCCCGCCAACTCCCCCGGCTAGTGTTTTTGGTTTTGTTTTTTTTTTTTTTTGTATTTTTTAGTAGAGACGGGGTTTCACCATGTTAGCCAGGATGGCCTCGATCTCCTGACCTCGTGATCCACCCATCTCGGCCTCCCAAAGTGCTGGGATTACAGGCTTGAGCCACCACGCCCAGCCAATACATCTCTTGAATTTATTCTCCGTAACTGAAATTTCATATCCTTTGACTAACATCTCCCCAATCCACCATCCAACTCAAGCCCTGATAATCACCATTCTACTCTCCACCTCTATGAGATCAACTTTTTCTGATTCCACATATGTGAGATTATGAGGTGTTTTTCTTTCTGTGCCTGGCTTATTTCACTTAGCATAGTACCCTCCAGGTTCATCCATGCTGTCACAAATGACAGAATTTCCTTCTTTTTAAAGGCTAAATAATATTCCATTGTGTCTGTGTGTCACATTTTCTTTAACTTTTCATCCATCCATGGACACATAGGTTGATTCCGTGCCTTGACCATTGTAAATGCTCCACTGCATGTAGGAGGGAAGGTATCTCTTCAACATACTGTTGTCATTTCCTTTGGATGTATGCCCAATAGTGGGATTGCTAGATCATATAGTTGTTCTATTTTTTGTTTTCTGAGGAACCTCCATACTGTTTTCCATAATGGCTGTACTAATTTCCATTCCCACCAACAGTGTACCAGCATTCCTTTTTCTCCCCATCATCATCAACACTTGTTATCTTTTGTCTTTTTGGTAATAACCATTCTTATAGGTGTGAAGTGATATTTGATTGTGGTTTTAATTTGCACTTCCCTGATGGTTAGTGATGCTGAACATTTTTTTCATATACTTGTTGGCCACTTCCGTGTCTCCTTTTGAGAAGTGTCTATTCATGTCCCATGACCATGTATCCATTTTACTTGGATTATTTGATTGCATGCTATTGAGATGTGAGTTCCTGTGTATTTTGGATTTTAACCAAAATCTTGGATCTTTTGGATATTGACCCTCATTCTGTAGGTTGTCTCTTCACTCTGTTCATTGTTTCCTTTGTCATGCGGAACCTTTTTAGTCTAATGTAACCTCATTTGTCTGTTTTTCCTTTTGTTGCCTGTGCTTTTGGGGTCATAGTCAAGAAATCATTGAATCAAAAAATCAATAATTTTCAACATAATGAAAAATTTTCCCTATGTTTTCTTGTGGGTTTTACCATTCCAGGTCTTATGTTTTAATCTTTAGTCCATTTTGAATTAATTTTTACATATGATGTGAGATGAAGGTCTTATTTCATTCTTCTGCATGTCGATATCTACTTTTCTCAACACCATTTATTGAAGAGACTGTCCTTTCCCCATTTTGTGTTCTTGGTATCTTTCTCACAATCAATCGACTGTAAATATATTGATTTATACCTGGGTTCACTATTTTGTTCCATCAGTTTATTTATCATTGTTATGCCATTACCATTCAGTTTTGATTACTATACTTTTATAATATATTTTAAAATCAGGTCATATGATGCCTCCATCTTTGTTCTTTTGTTTGTTTTGCTTAAGATCACTTTGGCTATTTGAAGTCTTTTTTAGTTCCATACAAATTTTAGAATTGTTTTCTCTATTTTGGCAAAACATGTCGTTGGAATTTTAGTAGGCATTGCATTGAATCTATAGATCACTTTGGGTAGTATGGACGATTAAACAATATTGAGTTTTCTAATCAATGAATATGTATTATCTTTCCGTTTATTTTTGTTACTTTCCATTTATTCATCAGTGTTTTGCAGTTTTCAGATCTTTCACCTCTGTCATAAATTCATTTAAAAGAGTTGCTGCCTTGACATCCATTTGTAGGTCTGATATAAGTTGTTTAAAACCCAGTCATACCACAGCATCATTTGCCCAGTTAGCAATTCCTTTCCCCGTTCAATTGTTTATGATATAGCACATTTGTTCTTTATCTCCCTGACCCTAAACCCAATACATCCCAGAGCAGCAGACTACAATGAAACCTAATGGTTCGGCAGGGCATGGTGGCTCATGCCTGTAATGCCAGCACTTTGGGAGGCCAAGGCGGGAAGATCACCTGAAGTCAGGAGTTTGAGACCAGCCTGACCAACATAGAGAAACCCCGTATCTACTAAAAAA